TGTTTGTTTTTGAGAATTTAATCCCTTGAAGTCTCTGTAACTCCTGTGGTTTGTAAAAAGTAGTCCCCCTTAAACCAAAACAAAACAAAACAAAAACACAGAAAACTGAGAGTCCATAATTATGGGATTCGAACCTGGTTGGTTGGCAATCTTTCCCATAAATTATTCCAGTGTTCAGTCGGTATAAATGTTGTCCACATCCTGCAGTTTATGTCGATTAGTTTGTTTCACCACCTCAGTTTGCATTTTAATCATATCCTATTGTGTATACAAATCAATAATGTTATGGATATGATATGAAACCAACCTCTTTCATTATCACTAAGAACTGTCTCTCAAGCCTTTGATTTGAATACATGGTGTACAAACGCTTTCAGAATGCCTAATGCCTTGAAGCAACGATATTAAAGGAGTTTGTGGCCAACTTTTCTGCCACACCTGCCATAGACGTGGCATGAGTATGTTTATCTTTATCTCTTCAGTAGATTTAGTGGCGTTCATTCATCTACGACTGCACTGAATGAAAGTCCACATTTTTCGGAAAGTCAAATACAAAATCTTTGATGCAACCACTGGGACAAGTGGTCACGTTTTGAACCTTAAATTAACTGTTTTTCGCATTATGACCCCCCTGCCCTTTTTGATTTATCTGCACGCTGTATTACAACTTGAATGTCACTCCATTTGGTCGATGGACAGGGGTATTTTCGTTGAACCGACTCAATTCCAAGGTTTTTTTTTCGACCGCCACACATTGAGTGTAAGCTCTGGGAACGCACAGGTACTCCACGTGCTTGAAATAATCAATTAGGCCGCTTGCGTCTGACCATGCGTGAAACGTTACCCTCCCATCGTCAGTAAACCGTGAATTCATCATGTCGTAATCGGATACCATCCAACCAGAATTAGCGAAGGCAAAAAGGTATCGACCGGGGGTTAATTAAGAACAACGCTTCGGAAGTTGGCCTTTATGTCGCCTTTTGGTATAGAGGGGTTGCGTGCGGAACTCGGGAGCACTCGGGGCGTGGGACCAGTGGATCTGCCGCTGCCGATCGCGAGAAGCAAGAGAGAAGTGACGTTCGAAGTTTTATCAAGGTTTGATGGGGCTAAATTATACACCTTGGCAAGGTTTTTTTATGCAACCTGAGGATCAAACCTGTATAGAACAATGCCCGAGGTGCGCGCCATTCTTGGGGAGACATTGTTCCACGATTAAGTGATTACGTCTCGATGCTGAAGAAGACATAAATAAAGGCTAGCGGACGCTCATCAGTGAGTAATTTAGTTTTATAAATTTAAAAACAACCTATAAACAAATATAAGAACTTATTAACATGAGTGCGTATAATGGTCATTCGAGTGACATCCCAATTCCGCGCTTCTTATGGGTACCGTACACAATGCAGTCTGCAATATTGGGTCCTATCTCCACTCTAAGATACTACATAAGCAGTTGCTAACTCCCCTCATAACCTTGGAAAATGATAATGAAAGCAATGTACTTCGGACTAAACATTTTCCATAATGTTTCTCTTCCTCAAGGGGACCGTACCTCCATACACCGACAGCGCGAATTTGCCACTCGTGGCCCCTCATGCCATGTGGTATAGGAAAACATGGTGTTGGTGCAGAAATGCACTTCCGTGGAATCCAAGTGTTACAAGCCAGGGAGGCTACAGCTAGCTGCAGACACCGTAGGCAGTCAGAGCGGATTAATGATGTACTCCCCTGGGGAGTTCATCATCGCTTCAGTATAGGCCTATAGGCTAGTGTCCGCTCCCGGCAAGGAAGCATCCTCCTGCCCTCCGAGTCCTCTGAATCGGGCGGTTTCGGTGAAATGATTACACTTATTAAGGCCTCTATGGATTCGACTCGATTCTGATCTCAAGTCAGTATTTGTTCTGTAGAACCATGTTTTAAATTCTACGAATATACAAGGGTAGCCGTATCCGCTGCTCATGGAGAACCACGACGCCTTTCCGTATAAGCCGATTCTCCGTGTAGTCCGAAAGTATTTTCGTATGTTCAAACTTTGATAGAAACGATGGGCAGGCCACTCGCGAGGATGCGCAAAGCCGGATTGTCCAATGCGTCAGTTGGCGAGGATGCGCAAAGCCGGATTGTCCAATGCGTCAGTTGTTACTCTGTCAAGCTAGGGCCTATATACGAAAAATCCGGAGGCCTATTCAAATAATTTTAGAGGTCTACGACTACGCCATATAGTACAGTGTGCCATACAAAAAGCACATAGTGCTTTGAATGGTCGATTTTTGGAAAATATCAAATTTGCAAGTACGCCTAGGCCCCCTACGTATCGCTCCGTAGAACTTGGCATCAAATGCAATTTCGTTCGGTTGAGCGGGGTAGCGAATTAGAACGAAATTAAGTTCTTACTGTGGAATATATCACTCCGCGTCGCGCAGGTGCACTGATATACGAGTCTAGGGTGCAAGAATGTGCCATCTGTGGTCCGACAGTGACTTATTTCATCATAGGAATATTCTTGTTTTTTGCAAGGCTTTTTCCCATGGGTTTTTTCCCAGCATGTTTTCCCAACCTACAAATAACATAAGTGAAGACGTGGTACTGATGAAAATGGCCATTGTATTTACATGACATTGATTTATAACGCAATTTTCATTTGCTTATCATGAACCAGCGTCTATACTCCTTTCTACTTCAGTATAGGTATAGTATAAAAACGATAATGATTGCAAGTCTTCCATCGAGTAATGTATGGTAATGCATCGTAACGTTACACTGTAAAGTCTGGATTGCCGAAAGAAAAGCCTATATGGTACCTTGAGTCAGCAGTATCTATAAGTAGTGCATTGATATACGATCCTTAAGGTCACAAAGAGTAGTTTGCATAATTATGAATATCAATTAAACAAAAGAAGTTATGAATAAAAGGGATTGGCGTGTCTGTCGGTCACCCTCCCAAAATTGTAATCTAAGTGTCGTGGACTCAAGAAGAACGTGAAATACGAAGCTCCTGTGCTTTCCTGCATTATTTTTGCTGAAAACTAGGACGAGGACGAACCTGATACAGACCCGTGTAGTTATGTAACTTTGATACCCTCCATCAAACATTTTTAATTTCTTTCTGGTTTGTCCACCAGGCAACGAATTAAACGCTATTTTCGCACTGCAAATTAATTTTAATAAGTTCGAGGCATGTAAAAAAAAGGGAAAAATCCGTAGCCGATTGTTCTGAATTATACCCAATTTTGTTCAGAATTAACTACAGAACTACGAAAGCGTATAAGGGCCACTTGCAAATTTTGTGTTCGATTTACTACTTGCCGCGGCGACTTAAATGTGTATCTCTCCGTAGCGAGTTATACCATCTTGCCGCGGAGTTAAATTGGAATCTCGTCGCTTCAAGTACTTCAGTAGTTTCATAAATCTTATATTAGCGTGTCGTCGTACTCAGATGCACAATCAGGGTGGAATACAATGAAATTGGGTTTCAGATTGCTTTAAACAAAGCTTGATTCGACAAAGCTTGAAATCTCTTTTGGGGTATGAATTTCCATATTCAGAAGTTGAGTAGACTTACTTTAACTCCCTGGTACACTGCCTGTTGAAAAGATTACCTTGCCTTTTCATTTATACTTCTACAAATAATCCTATCTACATAACACCGCGAGGGGAACCCTGAAAAGAACGAAAAAAAAAGGAAAAAAGAGAAAAAAAGAAAAGAAAACATTCAAAGATATGAAATTAGAAATGAAAAAGAACTTAACTATATTTGCTCAAGAGAGAGAGAGAAAAAAAGAAAACAGACCCCGCCCTCCGCAGTTCAACGTTTTTGTTTCAATTAGACGGTTTGCCCCCCAACACCCCCCCCCCAAAGTCCGGCGACGCCCATGCATAATTTTAGCGAGTGTGTGTGGCCATTTCGGACCAAACCTCGATGTTGATATCATTAAAATTTGCTATGATTAGGCAAAAAGAAAATGAAGGGAAGGTGAAAGGGAAGCTAACACACACTTTTCATCAACTGGATTGCAATCCCCAGGACCTTTGACCTCCCATCCATGTATTCACCATAAACCATCGTCACCATAAACCGCCCACACAGCGCAGGGCGCTGGGAAGGGCAAATACATTAGGTTTTTTTTTGTCGAGAGCACGGGTCGACTCGGACACTTCTGGCTCGGTGCGTGTGACATTTGTGCACTTATACTATATTTGGAAATTAGGGCACTAAGAACCTAAAATGTTTTGACTGTCTCAAAGCTGTGATGTATTTCATGCGTTGCGTTTGTAAAAGTGCCCCTTTCGATCGCCATTTTGAGTACTACAAAAGAATTCATTTTGACTGATGAAAGTTCAAGTGTAACTTTCAAGTTCACTTCTGTTTGTCATTTGGAAAATGTAGGACTGGTATTAAAAAAAAGTTTATTCCTCATCTCAATGTGGAATTCACACCACAAAATAAGATTCCCTTTATTTTCTTTTGTGTTGGAAAACAAGCATTGTTGAAATGTAACATCTCCTTTTATTCCAATTAGCAATCTAAAACCACATCTCACTGCCTTTCACCCTGTTAAAGACACGTTTGAAAACGGCGCACAGAATAGGACTTAAAACTATTGAAATTATATGGCTCCAGCGCAATATCAATTTGGCCTGTGACAAGATCTTATCGCTGCGATATACGTACACATTGAACGAGACAGTACTCGCCGCAGTGAGATAGTGACTCAAAAAAGGCATTTTGCAAGTGTCCCTTATACGCTTCCATACAGAACAGTGTGGTCTGAGAGCACAGAGAGAAAATAGGTTAAATTAAGCAGTTCTATCCAATACTTTAACCGTATTGTGGTGAGTAATTACCGCTTGAAGCAGTTTCTGAGTTCTCAGTGTGCGTCCATTTAGATTGCAATCAGTACCACTGAAGCACTCTTCGACGCCAAGTACATGTACAGCGTGGGCAGGATGGATTTTCTCGTAAATAGCGCCCTCCAGCGCCTGATCGCTATGTAATTGAGGAAGTGTGATGGCGGCGGGTTCAGAGCAGAAAGTTTTGAGTTACCATGACACCCTTCTCAGGAAGAGTGATTTATCGCTGCTAGACGGAGCAAAGTGGCTGAACGACAAATTGATCGGCTTTGTGTTTGAGTAAGTAAAATTTAAGATGTCATTACCATCTTGAAATACTTTGATACAACAACAGTACAGGTGAAATGCTGGTTATCATCACGCTGTGTGCAGTCCAGTGTGTCATGGTGTGTCTGACCGTCTGAATCATCCTTGCTCTATGGTCTGACGAATATTAGGCCAGCTACATAAGCTAGGTACATGGTACATGTACTTTTAGTCTGAGTAACTTAGACCCTACAAATCACCTTTTTAAACATTTGGACATAGTCGAGTGATCAGGTGATAGTATGGTCTAAGGACATGTACATCATGTACCTACCATAGCCTGCATGCTGTACATGTAGGCTCCATTAACATTTCATTTCACTCAAAATTGCTTGTACCCCCAATCAAAATCCTCCAAATTTACCCCAAAGGCTCCAACAGGGTCTTTAAACTGTCTAAGATGCCCAGCTTAGGATAAAGTGTGAATCAGAGATTTTAATAATGATGATAAGGTTCACTCACATTTGGGAAGAACAGAGAAATTTCCCCTTCAAATCAGAAATGGTCTTTTAACTTGTAGTCAAGCATGATGTAGCCATCTTGTTCAAAAGCAATTTGAACGGTATGTTAATGTCGTGGAGACGATGTCATGGTGTGCCGGTCTCTGTGGACCATTCACAAAAAGTGTGCCCTGTTGGCACAAGTATGCTGACGACTGATTCCTGAGCGCTGTGTAATGTAGCCCCCCCCATGTCCGATAGCTGTGATCGCATCAAACCTATACACTGGCAAAACTTTGTTTCTTTAAACTTTGCTTTTTGTTTTTGGATTTTTATTTTTGCCATGAGAACGGGGCAGCGCGGACATCCGTGATGCTCGCAAAATGGCAGGTACCGCAAACAGCAACCATGGCGACGTACGCACACACCAGCCAGTCCGAGGATCGGATTACGCAATCTTTTTTTTGATCAGTACGTGCACGTTTGCAATTTTATAAAACTCCCTGATGTAGGCGCTGCCCCAGCGGCCCCGTACATAGAAGTTTGTGTTTGGCATTGGTTGCCCACATCGCTTGGAGCCTACATGTACACCATAAAATATTTAGGACAGAGAAACAGAACATGTGCCTTTATACACGTACTGTACATAATGAAATGTACCAGTATTATGAACAGAAGCTGTAACGTACGCGTACAAACTCATATGTACACGTACATGTATGTACAGTATACATGTACCTCAGATGGAGTATTTTTCTTTTGACAAAATTGTACTTCATTTTCTTTTTTCAACACCGATCACACACTGTAGTCAAATGTCCAGATTTTTCCTTTGTTTATTTATGCTTTTGGGGGGATTTGTTGTAGGTATTTTGAGTTTGACAAGTTCCAAAGCCTCACAGGCAAGGTGGCTTTTGTCAGTCCAGAGGTGACACAGTGTATCAAGCTCAGTCGTGGTAAGTAAAGATCAATGTTTTTGTGCAGTTAAGCAAAGGTTGTGATACAGTGACTCATGCAACAATGTATGTTTAATTTGCCTTAACCATCCTAAGATTAATAATAAGGAACAAGTTTCAACCCATGTACATGTACATGTATGTGTACACAGTTACTGTATAAAGCAAGACAGAACTCAAAGGTAGCTGGACCAAGAGAGGGCGCAATTTTCCTAGCAACAATGGCAGCTCCTTTGGTCAAAACTGCACTTCGCTGGTTCACAAACGACTATAAATGTACACGTTACATGCACTGAACTACCAGCCTGGCTCTTTTCAACCAACGAGGGGGTGCTTCTGCTCAAGGTGGACTGGGTAATGTTGCTTGGATGGCAGTAATTCAATTGGCTTAGAATGTTATGGAAAAGTTGCAAATATAAAGTGTTTGCTTTAAAAAATGTTAAGGCCTTTCAAAGGGACACAGATTCTTCCTGATTTTAAAATTGATGTACATGTAATCTGCATCCATACAGAGACTACAATTTATGTGCCTTACATGTTAATATACATGTATACATACATGTACATGTATTCTACATGCATGTACCAGCAGGACACCTAATACTGTCCATATTCTCATTTCCAGCCTCCGGCCATCATTGATTTTTTTTTTGGTCCTTGTTTTGATTTGCATGTATCAGCTGTGACAACAGACGTGCATGTACATGTATGTAAAATCTGCTCACATTGACGGAAACACAAACCTGTGCAGTTACATATAATACAATAGCGCTGGGTACTTACTCCTGCAGAGTTCAATCCAATTAAATCCCTTAAATATAATTTTACATTTTTGTGAACCAACAGCGAACACCAAAAGGGTGGTTGCAGTCTTTATTTTCCTAGAGGACAAAATAGTCCAACTGTATCCTGTACGTACACATGTATGTACAACATGTAGGTACATGGGCTTGTACACTTGCACTGTGAGGATTTTAAATAAGTAAAAAAAAGAACTAACAATGTGCACTTCATGCATTTTAGGTTCAGGTGTGCAAATACTGTACATGAATGCTGGTCATGTTGGTGAACAAACGTGTCTGCATACAGTGTCATCAGGAGTCACAATCTCTGTACTGGAGTAGAGTGGAATGATGCGACCTTAATGATGGCATGGAGGCTGCAATCAGTAATGCATGCACTGAAGGAGTTGGACACAAAATCAATTTGGCAGTTTGGGATGCCCAAACTCCATGCTTTACAGTGAGATCGCCTGCACGTTTCATTTACTCCATGAGGAAACTAATCATCACCACATCTACCCATAACTTTATGAAAAGAAATCCGGAGCATGAGCAAATAGGGCTGAGTCATTTCGAATAATTCACTTTTTGAATATTAAACTTTCAATTCAATCAAATGTATGAATATTCAATACTTTTGAGCGGTAGATTGTTGAAAATTAAATCATATACATGTATATGTACATGTAAATCAGTTGCAATAATGCACACAATTGTACATTGTAGTCACTATAATAATGTAACTTCTCCAGTCTAGGAGTATCTCCAGCCACAATTTCACAAGATTTAAGAGACGAAAAATACATGTACTTCTTTCCCAGTTGACAATTTCTATTCCGTTTATTCTTTTATTGAGTAATTTACGTCTTGAGTCGTTGTGAGATTTCTGTCACTTTTCATTTGAATCTGCTTGAAACAAGCCTCCACAGTACAATTTTTCTCATTTAAAATAAAAGAAATTTCTCCCTGTTCATAAATTTTGTGTTCGAATATTCAAATTTGGAAAATACTATTCGAATATTCAATAATCGATCAAAAATTCGGACATTTGGCATAGCCCTGTGAGTGATTAAGAAACATGATGTTAATTACATGTAGCATGTAGGTACATGTACATGAGCTGGGCGTAGTTTTGGGCTTCTGTACATATATTGTAGATGCAGACATGCACTCAAATAATCATCTTTTCTGCTTACATGTAGATGAGGAAGTGGCCGTGTTCTTAGAACCGCTAGATCTGTCCAGCAAAGACTTTGTGTTTTTGGCAGTCAACGACCATCATATGGAAACAACTGCTGGTGGCTCTCATTGGTAAGCTCGGAAAACAGAGGCCAGATAAGTGACACTTAACTTCAAGGAACACATGCATTTTTATAGTACTATACATACATGTGTATGTGCACATCGCAAACTAAATTGAAACCCTACATGTTCATACGTGTATACAGGTATGTATAGCTTGTAGAGAGCATGTATAAATTTGTGATTTTTTTTTAACAATTTTCCACATGAGAGGCTCCTCATCCTACATAACTAGCTTGTAACCACAATGTCTCATTTGTGTGTACGTAAATGTCCCTTCATAATATCTCCCTGTTTATTTACCGATGCGGTTCCCAAAGTTGTAGAAATGTGCATGTTTGACATACTGGTACATACATGTACATGTACAGTGTACCAGTGCATGGAGCCACACTTCTTGTGCAAAGATGAATTGTGTGTACTGTCCATGCACATGAACCAGTACGTGGTGGGTCAGCACAGCACATACATGTACAATGTACCGCTACAATACATGTATTCCAGTTTTCGACTGAATGTGCACAACTTTTAGCAGAAGACATACATGTACATGCACTGACATGGAAGGCAAGCAAGTTCAATTAAGTGTATCGTCATTGTTGAAGAGCTACATTGTACACGTATGCAATACACAAGTGCAGGTTGTGTTGGTGTATAGAGCAGTCAGTAAATTTCTTTTAAGAAATGAGTGAGATGAGTTTGCTATGGTACATGTACCATACTGGTATGCGTGTACACACCGGTACCATACAGTGTAATGTACATGTACATTAAAATGCTTAGTACATGTACATGTTTAAATGTGAACTATACTGTACAGCATGAGCTTTTGTACAAATGATGTACAGTGTACACGTGTAAGTCAAATGCAATATGGTGAAGTTCTGTTACCAGTACCTCCCACAGAGTGCATACAGGTACATGTACATGTACACGCAGATATTGCACTACATGTACATGTATATATACCGTACTTTGTCAGATGCAGTGTAATAAAGTGCATTGCTGTATAGGCACGTACATGTACCTGTACAGAAGTATATTACGCTGTGCTGCTGATTTCAGAAAATCTTGAAGTTCTTTAGTATACTTGTACATACGTGCACATGTACGTACATGTACATGTACTCGCATCATGTACATGTACGATTCAAATACTGTAACAGGGTTGCTGGTAGTATGTTGCACAAAATACATGTATGTGGCAGTTCACAGGAATGTTTGAACTTTGAAACCTAGCAAAAGCAAAGTTAATGTTCACTCTTAACATAGACATACATGTACATGTATATATGTCAAATGTACATGTAAGTCACCCATTGTCTTACAAGCATCTAACGGTACTTTTTATGGTTGTACATACATGTACAGACATGTACTGTAAATCCTCTAGTCACATTTAGGCAGTTTTTCTTTTGGTTAAACCCTTTTGGACACGCATACGTTACATGTACAATGTACATTTATGTAGCAGTTCTCAAAGTTTTAATGCAAATTCATGAAGTAGTACCTCTACATGTCATAAGAGTTCAAGGCTGCTGAAATACGTGGCATCTGTGAGGTTTTTTGAGAAGAATTTAGTTTCTTCCACGCTTTGTGTGAGGTACATGTATGTCTTGCATCTTCCTCACTTACGTGCCCAATCTTTAGTGGGCAGCTGTTTCCATGGCGACTAGTGTGAACTACATTGTACAGAACAAAGCAAAAATTGAAGGCGATTGGAGTGCGGCTGAAGGAATACAGTAAAAATGAATTCCCTTTGTGTCCTGCTGTTTGAACGCCACCATTGAATATTTGCTTGACGGGCACAATCCATTGCAGTGCTCCGACAGCGCCATGTGTCATACAATGCCTGCATTCAGCGTGTATCATGCCGTAATTCAATTTGGACATTAGCAGGGGACCAAGGATAGATCGTAACATTCTGCAAGATTGACAGGTTAACTTCAGAATTGTCCAAGTACATTGTACATGTTCATTTTGACTCTTGTTCTTATCGTGTACAAATGTGTCCATGAAGGCCAACTCCAATGGAAAGAATCTTTGTTGTTTTTTTGTACTCAGGGAGATATCGGTATATTTAAATTTTTCTACATTTGTTTTCTTCTGAAAGTATAATGGTTGTACATCTGCATTGTACATTGCATGTAGCAGGGCAGTTCTAGAAGTTAGGGGCTCCTTTTTTCTTCCGTGTCCCTGCTACATCTGACATATGATTTTGTAAATTCAGAACACATTTTCTAATTTCCAAGAGTACCGAATTAATGCAAATTACCTGCCAGTAGTTTGAAATCAATTCTGATGATATTTCCATGTCAAATAACAAAGGTCAGTTATGTAACAGGGACACAAAAATTTCACGCTTTTGGACCCTTAATTTCTAGGATTACCCATGAGGTACATGTGCATGTACATGTACGTACATGTCATGTTTATTCGTACAACAAATTTTCATTTACGCTATACGTGCACATATCTACATGTATACTGCTTCAAGCTTTATATTGCATGTGCATGCATGTTCATGTACATGTTCAGTACAGAACAAATTAGAAGTTCATGTGCATATTTCATTGTGATCATGCACATGATGTGTTAAACCTTTCAGCTGATTCTGTGTGAAAAGCCCAGTCCCCTACCCTCTCAGATCCCTCAAAACCTCCGAGGAGGTTGAAAAAATTGTGGGAATGAGAGACATTTTACACCACCACATGTACTTTGATATGATCAGAAAAAGTTTTAAGATCGTGCAAAGAATGCGTTCAAAGGTTTTTTAAGGATTATGCAACTTGGTTCCTGTACTCATGCTTGCAAAAATTGCATGTACATGTACCTGTCAGGATTTTATATATTAACCTGATACGTGAACTGTGTATGTTTCTTTCTGAATTCGTCGTCTCCAGGAGTCTCCTGATTTACGACAGAGCAGGAAACAAATTCAGCCATTACGACTCCTCGGGGTCGAGCAACCAGGGTGCGGCCATGATTCTCTGCTGCAAACTTCATCCCTTTCTGAAAGGTATTGTACATATTTTTTAAGGTGTCTTCTCTTTGGTTACAGACTATAGCATTGTTTAATCTGATTTGTGCTCGAGTGTGGAAGAAACACAAGAATGTAGGGTCCGGGGTTCGAATCCAGAAAGAGGGTCAGGGTTTACATTCTGCAAGAGAGTCAATACAGTAAATGGGTCGGAAGTTCAAATTGTAGTAAGAGGGTCAAAGGAGCCAAATGCAGTGAAGAGGGTCATCAGTGGGTCCAAATGCTGGAAGTGGTCTGTGGCCCAAATGGAGGCAGGTCAGGGGTATAGGAGTGCAGTAAGTGGGTCAGGGGTCCTTTCTACCGTGCATGTTTCCCTGTGTTGCATGTTGTCATACGGAAATAACACTCATGAAATCCACGTCATCTTTACCATTCCCATGTCTTCTGTCTTTTTTAGTCATTCTTGTACATACATGCATGTTACTTGTTCAAGCAGTTTACTGCAGGATTTAAACAAATGTTCTAAAGACAGCCGGACTTTTGTGAATTGCCGGAATTCCTGGGGAAGCAGTTGTACTTGTACATGTTTACATGTTTACATGTTTACATGTACAGTACATACATGTACATGTTGCTCAGAGGCAGCCACAAGCAGTGTTTGTAATGGCACTGCTGACTCTTACCGGTATGTGGGCCAACATGCATTTCCTTGGTCGTGGGCTGATTCTCAGCCAGTTTGTAAGCACACATAATGGAAGACTATACGGATTTTAATGTACCGTACACTTCCACGTACATGGTACCTTTGTATGCAAAAGCACGCTGTGCCAATGATGCCTTACCAGAGAAGCAAACAAAAACACCTTTATATGTACGTACATGTACATGTACTTGTAGACCTTACCAGGTGCTGTAAATATTTCACTCACAAGGGAATTCCCCTGGAGCAGTTTGAGGCTTTTTGCCTGCCTCCCCCAGGTCCCCGAATCTGCATGTGAATGGTGAGGATCGGGCGGAATGAATCTGCCTCCAGCGCGTCTTCCGCACAGCTGAATGGAATGACGTACATGTACATGTACGCGGTGACGCCATAGGTGAGAATACCCCAAGCGCGGTGTCTGCAATTACAGCTTTCTCATGTGACCGGACCGCTGGGTATTTTTACCTTTGAAAAGCATCACAAGACCAAAAGACAAAGCCTTGAACATGCTACGGGGACATTGTCTTGACTTTGTACCCTCAAGACGCTCAATTTCCCTGCAACCTCTGACGCACGGTGTGCTCGGGTGTCAGTCATTCAATACTGATGATGTTAAATTTGCTGTTTGTTAAAGTCGGCAGTGTATTCAATGTCTGCCAGGGCATTTATCCTGATGTTTAGTGGTCAGAAACTAGCAAGTAATATTTACAAGGCCCATTATCTGTTACATGTACACGTGACAAGTATGATAATTTGAAAGACTTCCAAACAAGGAGAAAACTAGGTAAAATGTGCGCATTTGTTTCTGCTAAAGGGACTGATAAGTTTAAATGTATTTCACCGGCTGTCAGATCATCTGCTCAAGGTTTAAGTACATTGTACAAGTACTTACTTTGGTATTACATGCATTTCGGCTGAAAATTTGACTTTCAGAAAGGGCACGATTTGTACATGTACAGCAGCCAACCTTTGATACACAGCCAATTGCCACAAAGCCAAATGCCACAATTGCCACAAAGGCAAATGCCACAATCGCTGACTAAGTAGTGTCATTATCTGACTAGTGAGAAAGTACATGTACATGCAACTGCATCGCCACAAACCATATAACCACAGTTATCATATACATGTACATGTGCATTCCATTCCACACGGGTGCCCCCATTCATCGTCCAGGTGTCCAGCCAACGTACCGTGCCTGCCCACAGATGGGAAACATTTGTGCAGAATCAGACATCCTGTGGAGTAGAGACCTGCACACAGATCGTAGAACAACACAAACAGCTCACCGTGCATCCCTTGCACTAATTGGGTTGCATTCATGCACCGCTCACATGCCAGACTCGAAGTTGAAGACCTCATCACAGCGTGAAGTTGGGCACAAGCAAGACATCTGTATCGCCCGTTCCCTTATACTGGCGTTATGAATGATCATGAACCTGGCAACATTTTATGCCAGCAGTGTTGTCAGTAAACCAAACAGTCTTTGAATGTGGAAGACATGAGACAGATGTTGGCCATATTGAGATTCAGTGATTGTGACTTCTTGATGAAGATGTGGTAAACCTTTCAGTAATTCATATTTGGACCTGTTGGTTATGCCGTCTTGTTACAGTCATTTGATACCTATGAAGTTTTAATTAATGCACCATACAGTGCACTGAGAATATAAAAGCCGATGTGTTGTGTCAAAAGGATTGATAAATTCCTGGGTATTTTCTGCAATACTGCAATACCGTAGCTCAGTTGTGAATTCTTGTGCAAATTTGATGTGCCTGATTTTGAGATAATCTCCCTTTTGCAATTGATTTGCAATTATACATGTATTTCTATGGCAGCAATGCTATTCTGTCTTGTTTGTTTGTTTGTTAGTTTCAGGAGAGGTCACCCTCATTGCGGAGGAATGCCCACAGCAGGAAAACGGTGAGTGTCGCTCAGGCTTGAAGTGTTGAATCGAAACTTGAGATGTTCATCGGCAGTTCAATGTTGGTAGCTGTTAATGACCGCTACGCTGCTCGCATGCCTCTCTCCACTTGTCGCAGCTTCTGTACCCACAAGGGCAAGCTGTAATGATGCTATTAAAAAGGGTCATTCCGTGTGTCGAGGCCAGTAGCCAGCGTTGATATTTCGCCGAGTGCAAAATCCCGCCCCTCTCCAAGTCCAGATGTCCTTGATGTCATCAAGGGCCTGGCTATACAAAAGGGTCCCCGAGCAGCAAACGTAAACCCCTTCCCACGTTTGTTCCCTTTCAGCTGATGGGGAGATGGCGTCTGAGCATGTCAAGCACTTGAGCCGGAGGAAAAAGAATTTTAAGACCCATCGAGTGAGGATATGGCGAGTGCTTGTAGACACATCGGGCTTTTTAGCTCCTGGTTGTTCAGAATGTTTATTCAAAGTGGAGATCTGAGCTGTCTTTTTTTCCTGTTATCAGAGAACATCTGCTCAGACTTCAATTGCCCTCTCTGCCTTTCAGTACCGCTTGGAAAATGTGTATCCGCACAAACAAGGGCCCTGTTTCATTGACACAATGATTGAAGGATCCATGGTCTGAAGTTTCCCGAGGGACGCGTTCGTGACACTTTTGACTCCTTGTAAATGCACCAGTACCTGAGCTCTTTGTTTGGTTGCTTTCATTGAAAAGTTGTCTCAAAAGCATTTATAAATGCAATTATGTATGGGTACATGTACCGTACCTAAGACAGATCGGCCACTCCTGTTGGTCGAGAGCTCGTCTCATGACTGGTCTTGTAAAATGGTTGACAAAGCAGCGGCTTGCCGTGTGCCACCACTCGCAGTACATGCTATGCACACACACCGATTGGACACATTTACTCACGAGATGAACATATTAAATGTAATACCGCTGATGAAGTGAAAGTGCTCCGAGAATCTTGGAAATTTATGAGTTTTCAAACTTGTTTTGATCTCAGCTGGGGTAATGTCAGCATCTATTCTCTCAACCCTGCAGTCTTTATTGAATGTTTAATTCCTGTCAATCACGCACTTTCAGTATATATTTCCTGATTTGAACTTTTCCATACTGTTCTTGATAAATGAGGGCGCAGTTGCTGTGATGTTCAACATAGGAAGGCACTATTCATTTTGACATGTTTGACGGTTTCCGTTCCAGTTGTGAATTCAACAGTGGTACTGGTCAGTAATAATAATAAAAATAACTGACATTTATAAAGCGCCCAATCCATCAAGCTGCTCCCAGGCACTGTACATCAAAATATAAATAAATAAATAAATAAATATAACCTACATGTGCCATAATTAAAATGCACAGTACAAGTGTTCATGGATATTACTGATGGTTGATAGCAGAATGTTTCTATCTTATTCAAATCATGAAGTTGTAGTTTGGAATGTTCATGTGCACTGTAAAGGAATGTGGGTGATGTAAAGTACATGTGCATACATACATGTACAGTACATGTACTGGTATACATGTACATGTACTAGTGTACATGTATGTATGGTACATGTACATGTACGTACTACACGTTTTAACTTGAAACAAAACCTCATCTTTGCTTCTCTTTGAGTAGGATGCAGTACAAGGCAAACTTGGGTTCCTAGAACCGTTGACCGTTCAGCATGTACAGAGAACACTCAGTAGTGGGAGAGAGGGGAGGACCTCACAGGGGGATTTCATGTAGGATCTTGATGCTGGCGTGCCATCGATTAATGTGCCGGGACTTTCAGCCTCGGGGAGTTAATCCATAATGGTGGGGATCGAATTCTAGCAGCGGACAGGGGGAAATTGAGGACCGGGGGGAGAAATCACGCTGTTGGGAGGGTTCTTGTCTAATTAGCGCCACCCGTTTGACACTCTGACAAACCCATTTTGCCGGTCACGTCCAAGTAGGTCTCTCCCCACAGGGCATGTCATGCTGTGAGACAGGGATCGATAAGACGGCATATGAAGAAGGGTTGGTAATACAATTATGATCTATTTGTAAGTTGCTGAAGAAAACCACGATGGGTATACTCGTACGGCATAAAGTCAGAAACAAACTTTGCCTCGTGTGTGGACTCCAGTCATTGCGTTTCTTAGGTTACGGATCAACACATCTTAGTACCGGTAATTCTGAGACTGTACATGCATGTTACGGACACATCAGGTTAAAAGGACCATTGAAGGGAAAAAAAAAAGAAACAAATAGTTTCTTCACCATGACAAAATTCATATATGGGTGATTCGATAAATTTGGGGTCCAATTCTTTTCCTGTCCCTGTTACGTCTGGCATTTGAGTTTTAATGTTTAGAACTCATTGTTTAATTTCCAAGACTGAATAAGTACTGGAAATTACCTGCCAAACAAATAACAATAGTTTGAAATCAATTTCAGTAATATATCCCTTGTCAAACTTGTCAGATGGCATACATGTCGGAGGTAACAGGGACAGAAAAAGTCACACTTTGGACCCGAAATTTATAGAATGACCCATACATCCAGTGTTTTTTTTACTAAAATGCCTTTGATTTCTTGCATTCAAGCTTTTTTCCTGCCATGGTCAGAACTGCTCATGTGTACATGTATATGTACATAATTTCTGTTGCCATTGACTCTACATGGAGCTTTGAACGTTTCATTCTCAAACTCTACAAAGAGGTCAGCAGCTGCATGTATTGTGCTGGTGTCAATGGATCTGCTGTTGACATTCCATATATGTATGTTCGTTATAGTGCATGCACATGTATGTACATGTACATCCATCCTTTCTAATAGGGCTCGATGCGCGGCAATTACATGTATATGTACATGTAAGTCATAGTTTGGCTTACATGTAATTTCCCCCAAAAAAGCCCTGTGGGTCTGTCTGTGTTCTGACTTTACACACATGAACGCTATGTTCAGCTTCTAGAAAAGCACACGTATGTAGTGCATAATAAACGTGTACACGTATACATGTCTTTTACATGTAATTTCCAAATGCCCTTAAGCCTCTGAGAGCATGTTCGTTTACATGCTTCGGTACAACATACATACATGTATATGCAGACTTGTGTACATGCGCAACCACGGAATGTTGAGACAAGTACATGTACTGTGGGATCAACTTTCAAGTGACTCACTTAGAACTCTCGGCGCGCATGAGATCCTTAATACTAAAAGCCGGATGGAGTGTCCATTACAGACTCCTCCAGGCAGATTCAGGTCTGTAATGTGATCACCTTGAGGTCATTCTCGCGTTTAATTTCTCCAGGCAGCCGAACATGAGAAATGGCAGTTCACCACAAAGTACGAAAAGCACTGCCCCTCCCTGAAGCCTGATCTCACTGTATGGGAATCGCCGAGCAAGCGAGTGGTGTTGATATCACTTGTACAATGTACATGGTAATGAAGATATTTGTTGCCCAACTCTGGAACCTCTTGGAGAATTGTCACAGTACGTGATTGTTGACCCCTTTGGTCAAGATTTACTTATGTACATGAGCATCATCATGGAATCTGTTTGGGCAATATACATGTACACGAGCAAAGAGCCTAAAAAGTGACTACAAGGTTTTTTGCATCCTGGAAAGAGGGGAAAGAGGTTGCCAACTCGCTCTTATTTTTGCTACACTGTACTCTCTAAGCTCATCCATGGCATCCCTAAGTGACCGGTACCCCTACTTCATCGGTCTCCATAAGCAGCTCCTAAGACAGTAAACCAATCTCACTACAGCAAACCTCAAATATTGACATATATGTACATGTATTTACATTTGTACACTGTAGTGCAGCCCCATCCACCTTCACTTACATGTACAAGTACATGTACCGATGTCTGTTTAAAGTGCCTGCCCCGTCGATGACCCCATTCAAGTCCACTGTCAACTCCATCCCCTCCACCTGCGCTTGATGATCCTCTCCATGATCACCACTAAGACGTCAATGACAAAGGACGCTTCATTTATCTTTTAAGCACTCCACTCAGCGGTGCACGCCCAAACGCAGTACATCCCCTTGGATGGCACTGCACTTTAAAAGAGGCATCCAGGTGTGCCGGTACGTGTACCGGTACCTTCTCCCCTCGTGCCGCTGCCGTACCCGACTTCACGGTTTATCACCGTTCCCCATGTATTTATTTATTAGACGTGGCCCATTTATTGAGAGTGCACATGATGGGCCTCGTGGATTGCGTTGCTGTTTAGGTTGTATAAGCAAAAATGGTGTACATATATGTACATACATGTACATGTGCACCCAGAAGTGATATGAAGTGAGGGTCGTACATGTAAATTCAAGTACATGTACATGTACGAGTATATACCTGTACGCGCGTACAAATGTATAACTTCCTGTACATGTACCGGTACATGTATGTCCTAGTTTTGTCAAGAATGATCAAATTGACCATCCTTGACTGGAAAACCTACCCTGCCGTATGGTTTGTACATGTAGTTACATGTATTTGTACAAGTATGCCTGTTTCTCATGTAACCTGTACAAAACTGGCATTTGCAGTCCTGGAGAGCCATGCACGTATGCTCATGCCCCTCACTTGGTTGGTGCGCATGTCCACTGATTCCATTATAGCGACAGAAGCAAATAAAATGGCTTCTGACTTGGGCAGGTGGACCCCAAAGTAATATCAATCAACATCAAGCTGAGATAAAGTTGTTTGCCCCTTATTACTATACCGATTATACTTTAAATACTCAAAGTCCCTTTTGCCAACTTGCAGACTATAAAATCCATTTTCTGCCAAATTTGTGCCTGTCTGTGTCACGTACCTCCAAAGTAACAGAGTCAGAAGTTGAAAGTCAAGCCAACATTTTAGAGGGGATTTTTCCAGTTTGGCCGAGTTTTCCCTGACATTTCTCTACTTGTGAATGGTGAGAAATATCATGAACTCTCTAATGAGAAAGTATCATACAAGAAGGAAACCGTATGGATGAAAACAGAAAGTTTTTGTTTGTGCCTTTTAGT